AGGCCAACTACACACTGTAGGGGGTTCAACTACATCAGCTTTAAGACGAGGGGGTTTACTTTAGAATAATAGCAGGGCGCAAAAAATATATACCTAACCGAATCATATTTTCCATAGATAAGCGAATTCCCCCCCCCCCCCCCCCGTTTCAGCACAATAAAGAAGGATCAAAGGTCATTTCGCTAGGGGTGGCAGCGCCGAGATGCTTTGTTTCGAGATTTCGGCCTCATACATATTCGAGCTGGGGGGCCTAGAGCCCCTCCGGGTACGCCACTGGCTTTCAACAAAAACATTTATGTCTTAGAAGGGTAAGAGAAAGAGAAGCGCTAGGGCTTGACTCCGGATTTCAAAACAGGCCTCTTTATATTCCAACCCAAACCTTGAACGAGAAGCGAGATGCTATCTCACCCAGTACCTGCAGGAAAATCCTCTTTTACTCGTTGATGAAATGGCGTGATCCGCGACCTCGCGCATCTTATTGGCGTGCGCTCGGCGCATGCGCTGGATCTGTCAGCTGTTGGAAGCATGGCATTGGGAGCTCTGTCGATGTCGTTGTTAGGCCACGAGCTTTCACCCCAATACTTCGCCAAGTTAACCCTCTCGTTAACGTGGTGTCGATGATTTTCGGGAAAATCGGGTAGTTCACCCGTGTCTTTCTATCGTGCATGGGTGACAGACACTGCTGAACTCGATTGTTATGGTTATCTCATGTTGGAATTGGAAGTTTTCCCCGAGAGGTCCCTGGGGTGTGAGTCATGGGAATTCGTTCTCGGTGAGTAGCCTATTTATGGTCCTAGGCTTGGTCTTGGAGATCTCTTCATTGTAGGCATCCTTTAATAGACTCATTTTAAGGAAGTAGGCTTCTAGGTGAAATTCCATTACCAGAGGCAGAACATAGAGGGACCCTAAGGTATGCCAACATTTCCAAGTCATTATGCTTAGGTAGCCTATGTGTCTTTAAAAAATATGATAGCTACAGTTTCATTCTGTGAAATGTAACTAGGCCTATGTTAGGTTCTGAAAGGTCAAAGTGGAATAAAACTAAAAGAAAAAGTAATGTAAGGTGCTTTTGTGAGAAAATGCTGGCCAGGTCTACAGAAAAAGTAATTCACTTCCTAAAGGCAAAAATAATGAATTACTATTTTCCAGTTGATTTTGACATTACTTTGTTGGAGTTTGACAGGCTTGCATTTGATTGCAAAATCATTATATCAAGATGTGAAAAAGCAGCTCAACTGCAGTTGTGCCTATTAGAATTAACCCTATATTGCATTGTGTCTGTGTTTGTGGGCGAGTATTCTGATGATGTTTTGGATCACAAGATGCTAGAGTTAGGCATAGCATACCAACTGAATATTGTGGTGTTCACTAAGATGGACATTAAGTTCTAGGGAAAGTTGTTCATTTTGGGAGCTATGAATAATCTATATAAAAGTTTCCACAAATGTTGAAATTATACAATAAACAAGGGCAGAGATAGGGGGGGTTAAATTTGACACTGGGGGTGAAATATGGCCTCCTCACCCCCAGATGCCTACTCTGTTTATCCTAGAGAATTGTTAGATAACTCAAATTAAAGTTAAAGAGAGGAGAATAAAAAATAAGGAAGCATCCTCACATCTTCCTCTTTCAGCTTTCATTTATCAACCATTTCTCTGAGACAAATGGAAAATTAGACCTGAATGCCAAACCTCATTTTGGCAAGATAAAGAAACTTTAAGCTATAGAGCTCTTTTTCCCCACATAGAAATCCATGTATCCTTAAAGGACCATTAAATAAAGGATGTATCAGCATTTGGACCTTAGCATCTGGAGGCAAGGGGTCATATTTTGTCCCCAGGGCCAAATTTAAACCCTATATCTCTGCCCTCATTAGCTCTGGAAACCTCAGATTTGGACTATATGACATTCTCACCATCATATGATTGCCTGCCTAATTTAATTTAATTCTAAGATAGTTGAGCACAGACCATTTCCATACTTGAGGTGGAATGACCCACCTGTAAATTGTGTAACAGGACATTTTATGGATCAGACAAGGGTACTTGAAAAACCTGAGATTCATTTCATTACTATGCAGCTATGTTGATAGCTTATCTAGCTTATCTTTTACATTTACTTGTATAAAGCTGTCTTTCTCCTTAAAAAAAAAAAGAATCCACTTGAAAGAATGATGAAAAGATAAAAAGAAGAATGATTTAAAAAGAATCCATTACCGTAGAATATGGTGGTGGATTCTTTTTTTAATCACCCTATCTATATATCTGAAGATTTAAATTAATTATATTTAGCCTTGGTTTATTCCACCTGTGCTTTTCATTATTTGGCTATGATGTCTCCCTATTCAGTGTTCTCTTATGATGAGGCTTACATATGTGTGCAGGCAAGCTATAATGTTTCTCATTACCTATTGAATTTTCTATTTTTTTTCAAACCTGAAAAGACTTAGTGATTCCAGAGACCTCTCTCTGGTCCTGCCCTTTTCCAAATTATGTATATCTCTTGATTCATTCTGAAAAAAAAAAAGGTATTTTGCTGTCTTCTGTTCTGCATATGTAGGCATACTGAAATGAAGGCATGGGTCATATCCGAATAATATTGATATGTTTCAGGAATGCATCTGTCAGCAGCAATATCCATCATTCACCATCAGGTGGAAGTTCTAAAAGGAGTAGAATTGCTGTACAGTGATCAGGTGAGTGGTAGAATGCCATGTTTTACTTTCCATAAGCCCAATGTTTGACCTAACCAGTTGACATCATATCTGTTCTTGCTCCCTTTATGTTGTATTTTTGGTGTTGTCTATTTCCCAGCAGAAGTAGACTTATATTTTCACTTCCAATTTATGCAAATTATGTTTGTGTGTTCAGCATAACAAACCTCTACTGCTGTGCTTGGCAAGGAGAGGTTGGCTCTGTTTAAATCCACAGCACTCTAGTTACCAATGACTTATGACCAGGCCAAGCTTACCATTCATGGGTTTTATCCATGAAACTGGCTGTCTCATCTGAAAATTATTGTAGCAGTTGCTTGCAATCAAAACCAATCCTGAGCCAATTTTTTCAATGATTGGTAAACCAACTCAGTCAATCAAATGAGTAACAATCCTTCATTTGCCCAAATGATGAGAAAAACATACCTTTCAAGCAATTCAAGATTCATTTTCACAAAGATCAAAATAATCCAGCATCAAAACATGCCTCCATTTGTAGGTGAAGGATGTTTTATGAAAAGAGGAATAAGTAAATAACAGTGAGATTATTAGGAGCATGAGAGTGGCATCAGAAATTATATCAGCTTTGTCCTCTATGATTTGAAGAGGAATCCAGAGAGCACATATTTTTTTAGGTGAAGAACTCGAGGAAGTTCATTTCTACTTCAAGTTTCCTCAATCATATGACAGCAGAAATTGTTATGCTTATGCCCTGTTTAGTGATCTGAGCCATTTTCTGCAAACGGCTCACCTGCAAAGGAGGCAAAAAGTCTCACAGGCTGAGTTGTTGATGTAGAGAAGAGAGCAACAAATATCCTTGCTGTACTTTTTATAATCCCTCCTTGATCTACAGATTTATTAATTTTGCAGCCCCTGGCTTTGATTCTTTAGGCATACCCCTATGCATCGAGTGTGATTTTTTTTTATAATACCAATTTCAGTAATGAAATTAAGTGTATTTTCATAAGTGAAAAATTTTAATTGGCTGTCATAACCCTTTTCACCTTCCAGTAGACTCCAGTATCCAGTTGTCAGTTGGAATTCTCATTGGTTTCCATTGAGTATGTTGTTGTTAAGAAGTTTTTCAATTTATGATAAACGACATTTTAGAGCACTTTGACGACATAGGCTCAAGACTGATTCATAACTAGTTTGGGAGGCATCACCAAACTTTTGAGTAGCTGTTATCTGGGCTGGTTTTAGTCTCATGGGGGCTTGGCAAGTCAACAGGAAAGATTTATCACATGGCACCATTGCAAGGATATGGCTAGGGCCATAAACTTGGGGGTTATCACAGGGGATGCTATCATACCTTGTTGATGACATATGCCTGGAAAATCATGAACCGATTGGGTTTGACAATAATAGACCATATTAATGGGGATACAAAAACTGGCTGGCATAGGTAGTAGCTACTTATGTAGAACCATCAATGCTGTCCGTAAGGTCTACATCATCCACAAACAAAATATAGACAAGCTCTGATGGTTAAGTGTGAGGAGGTCATAATCAAGCTGACTCCTGGTATTCGTACATCCCTAAATATTTTAAAATTAAAAAAGGAAATTCTTCCATTGAAAAGGAAGAAAGGCAACTTCTGAATAAATTAAGTAGTGGTGAGAGGCAAATTCATACCTGCATGGTTTCTCAGAGATTTAAGGGTCTCCCTTATCTGTTGCCCTGTGACCTTTAGGGAGCAGATTTTCATGGAAATTCATATTTTTTCTGCAGCCTCTTAGGAACATGCACCTTATATGGGAGCATGTATTTATTGGTAGAGAAAGCAAGCAATGCCATTTAAAAAATGCATATTTTGATATATTTCTTAGAATATGCATAAATATGCACATTTGTGCATATTTACGTATATTTCACCCATTTTTATATTTAAAAAATATAATTTCCTGGAAAATGTGTTTTCTTTATGAACCACAATGAAAATTTTCCAGCAGTCATGTGCTGCAACAAGAATAGACCGATTTTTCTCAACAGGCTCCTGATTTTATATCCAAGCCTCCTCATAGTCCACTCTGGGGGGAGGGGAAGCTTAACACATTGATGACTGGACTTATGAAAACACTAAAACCTCAGTGATCCATCCTCAAAGTGTTAATGATATGAAATGTACATTGTAGTTCCTTCTTCCAAAGATTCATTTAGGAGTATAAAAAGCATATATTTTTTTAATATTTCCATGCTTTCATGCCAATTTTATTTATATTTGGACATTTCAAGCACATATTTATGTGCATATATTGAGACTTAGCACATAAAAATTTGCTCCTAAGTGATCTCAACTAGGTCCAGGTCTTAGGTCCTTTGTCAAGCTGTCCTGGGACAGCTCCTTCAAAATTCACCACCTTTTCAAGGTTTTATGTTCAACTTTCACCATTCCTGCATCAAGGTAGCCTCACATTATTAGTGTTCAATACAACAGCAACACATCATGTGGAAGCGCCTTTTATGTAGTTAATTACTTTGGAAATGGACCAATTTTCATTTTCTAAAAATTCAGGTAGAACCTTGTTGAACCAAATTGATTAAATGACTCCTTGGGAGAAAGTCATTGGCCATGCCATTAATGAGTTAGAAAAGTATTAGCAATTGTGATATGAAAGAGACTCACTCCCACAAGGAGAGCTGATTTTATTTTATTTTTTCTCCAGAATCCACTTGAAGTTGATATCATCATACGACTCTCCAATGATGGTATCAAACTAATATTTGACTCAAGATGTCAGAGGCTGAAGGTAAGATTGATTCTATCCATTTTGTAGACACATTGCTACATGTCCTCCAACCATGGATTCATCCTCTTTCTTTCTTTCTTTCTTTCTTCATAGGTGATAGAGGTTTATAGTATGAAGAAGCTGAAGCTCAAATATAGGTGAGCCTTAATCATTTGCAGAGTATACCCAACTTGGTTTGAAAGCATGGATGCACATGAGAAACCTTGACCATTGTTTATTGCTTTTGCCTCCTCTGCCAATCCAGTTCATCTCAAGTTTTGCAGTTTTTATGCTTTTTCTCACAAACCCTACTTTGTGGTCATGAAATTTATGATAAAGCCAATGGGATGGAATGAGATGGGAACTTATTAGCTTGGAAACTCATATGCACTTGTGATACCCCTTTTTGAACCAATTTGATTCAATCTAAAGTGGAAATAGTGCAATAGAAGTATGAAAGAATAACTCCATAGACCTTATTGGCAACTCAAGAGTAAAGTATGGTCTATGGAGGCCTGGCAGATGTTTGTAAGGAATGTAGTATGACATATTTTATTTCTGCTGTGGGGATTGAAAATTTTCTTATTTTGTTTGTAGAACTTCTTTTCAGATGAGATTATGTTTTCATACTGCTCTCCCTGAGAGCACCACATGTGTTCTTACATCCATGGAAACCCCCAAGCGTGCTCCTCTGATATGAAGGAGAATATGAAAGAAAGCAGTCTTGAGTGGCTGTAATACATGGGACTTAAAGCCCATCATGATTATTGTGTTGGGTCTAGACTCTAATAATTTTCCAAACCAATCCAGTTTCACGTGGAATTTATGTAAAATCAGCTTTCTGAGAAATACTTGCAGGGGTTGAGTACAGGTGGGCTTTGATGTCCATTGTTTTGCAGTGGAATGTCCTTCAATACCCCAGAGATCTCACCCACCATTGAACAGATTGACCAATCTTTTGGTGCCACTCACCCTGGGGTATATGATGCTGAGAAGCAGTTGTACAGTCTCCACTTCCGAGGGCTGTCTTTCTATTTCCCCGTGGAAGCAAAGTATCAGGTGAGTGAGTTGAAAATATAAATGAAAGATGCATATGCTTGTTTTCCTCTTTCTTCTGTCTTGTTCCAGCCAAAGCTGGAAGCATGGTTTCATCCTTGCAGATGTTTGGATGGGTGTCCAAAAATTCTTTAAAACTATGAGATGAGTGATAAAGTTTGACATGGGTTAGCAATAGGTATGTTGAACTCTATAACTGTATAAATATGGGTTTCACTTAAGAATGTTCACTGGTGAAGTATTTCATGAGAGAGTGGGTGTTAAAAAAAATTATCCTCATGTTTTCATTTCATGCAGTGAAATTTACTGTAGAAGCATTATAGCTTTATGACTGAATATAGGTAAGCAAACATTTCATTTGACAATGTTCAATGGTATAATGACACCATTGAACATTGTCAGTCCTAAGTTTTTTATGTCTATGAGGTTATGTTGTAGCCACTGACTAATCAGGTGGTTCTCATTTCCCTTGAATGTTGCTATAAATTTGCATATTACCATCACTTCTTGGTTTTACTCATGGAGCTCCCTGATGCCCCCATGGCTATTGCCATTTTCATGCATTTGTATAAAGTGATTTTATCCAAGCATGAGGCTTTCCCAATGTGTATTGTAGTGCTATATAATTTCCCAGATGCTGAAAAGCAGTTGAAGTTATTTACATAATTGAAGATCATGACATGCTTGAGTCTGTCATGGAATCCAATCACACATTCATGGAAGTACCAATGTAACCTTTTGTAACCAATATCAAGTCTAGGCCCTCCAGGATGTTTATATTTAGACACGCACACACAAACACACTGAAATATAATAGTATAGGTATCTTAATTTATCTTTTGCATTTTCATAGGGAGTAGTATAAACAACATAGAGATGAATGATGTACATGTAAAATAAATTTATTGTGAAAAATGTAGGTAGATGTTGAGTTGTTAATTTTGAGTAAACTTGGTTTGGTCTGTGTTGTATGCAGAGAATAATTTTTTTTTTCTATATTCATGTTATTGTCCTATGACTCTATCAACATGATGCATTTAATTTCTCCCTGACTTAAGGTCTCTAAGTAGTATATCTCACTGCCTTCTTTTTGCCTTGCAACTCTGACTGCATACCTGGACTAAATGTTCTTTATTTGCCTGCACTTACCTGGGGTCATGATGTCATGTCTGGTCAAGTTGTAGAGGAAAAAAACTCACAGGGGTGGTTATTGGCATAGTAAGCATAAATCTCAGGTGATGCTAGCTTGCATTTCTAAAGAGGTCTCCCAAACTACCTATGTTAGATGGAGGTTTTATCATGTTCCTAAGACTTGTTGAATCTGTTCTTTATATTTTATTTATTTGTGAATCATATTCTTGTACAGCCCCAGTATGCCCATGGCTTGGGATCATTCCAGTTCCCAAATGGAGCATCTCCTCATGTTTCCAAGATGCGTATTTATAGTGGAGATGATACCAATGATGTGGAAGCACCTCTGTCACCTTTATGTTGTTACCATAATCATGTGTACCTGGAACAACTTGAAGTAATTCGAGAAAATCACCTAACTCATGGAGTTCGACTCAAAGTGTCATGTGAAGGTAATTGAAAACTTACTTTTCTTTGGGGTCACCATTTGATTTGGTGCCTAGCTGCATTCAGTTTTCGGAGTCCAATTGCTGCTAGTATTGTTTCTTGTGAATTTGAAGGAACTCAGAAAGTGATGGATTTGAAGAAGCAGATGCTTGGACATGACATAAGATTTGGTGAGTCATGCCAAGATGTATGCAGCAAAATTGGTTCTCCTCAGCGAATCTACTACAAAGCTGAGGACAAGATGCGCATACATAGTTGCAGTGCTTTCAAGACTCAAGCAATGAAGTCTGATTACTTCTTCAACTACTTCACTTTGGGTCTGGTAAGTAGCAATTCCTTCTGTGGAATATCTATCTATCTACAGGGTGGGCCAAAAAAAAAAAACAAAGCTATCATTTTTGGTGAGTTGTCAGTCCGATTTTAGGCTGCTGATTCTGATTAAATTTGGTAGGCGCATAGAATGACTCAATTAGTTTTTGTGTGCCTAGTTTCAAATCAAAATTCTAAAAACTGAGATTGGCATTTAATTTACTTTTCATCGCCAAAAAAGTAAGTGTTCATTTTTTCTTTCAACTTAAAATTTCTCTCAACTGACAAAAAAAACAAGCAAACAAACAAAATGTGCTAATTCCAAAAATGAAAGCACACAATTTGGTAGGTTAATTTCAACCAAAAAGGTGCTCAATGTGCCCTCTATTCTGTTGAACACAAGCCTCTAGTCTGTAATGCCACAGATCAATGGCTTGGTCAATAAATCTTTAAGGCAGTGCCTCCCAATCTTTCTCTATAGCATCATGCAGGGTTGGAAGGTCATGAATTTGGTCCTCCCTTTCACCCAGCCTCAAGTTCATACAGATATTTTCAATGGTGCATTTTTTCATGGATCATCAGAAAATAGTTACAGCTCCTATAATTCTATAGCCAGATGTCTGAAATTCGGTATTAAAACTCCAATTGTCACCCTATAAACCTACCAAATTTAATCAGAATCTGCTTCCTACAATGAGATTGACGACTCACCAAAAAGGACAGTTTAGTTTTTTTGGCCCACCCTTTATATATCTATCATCCCTTCTTGAAATTTTAAGAAGTGTGATGTTGCCATTTATAGCAGTAGTTTGCAGGTGCAGGGCTGCCCAGAGGTTTCCAGGGGCCTGAGGCAAAACTAAACCGGAGACCCTTTGGAGGCCCCCCCTTGGGAGGGGCCCTGGACAGATTGCCCCAATTGCCCCCCCCTCTGGGCAGCCTTGTGCAGGTATAAAGCATGTCCCTGGGACATCATGGTGTACAGCTACTTCCAAAATCATGCTGGATGTTAACTGTTAAACCCTCACTTTGATAAATCAATAATAATGATTATAAAAAGTGGAAAGGTACACATGATTTTGAGCATGAGAATGTACTTTGGAAGTACTGAAAACAACAAAGACATGACCTGTGAAGGGAATGTTCTGAATTTATTGAATTCTCTACTAGTATACCAGCCCAGGCTCAGATCTGCCATTCTATTGGTTACTATACCATTCATCACTCACCACTTTATGACCAATTACTACCACCAAAAAATCCTAAAATCACGTGTGAACTTCATTAATTCTCAAGTTATGATAAACTGATATCTGCATAGCTCTTGTTATCACCTGCACCTCAGTTGCTATGACAACTGTAAGCACAGGGAATGGAAAATGAGATGCATGCTAAGTGTCATGGATTGTTTTGGCTTTACCAGCTATGAACATCAATTATCAGAATCTGATATTGTTGCAGTAGAAACTTGGGAGATGGAAGGAGAGTACAACATGTAGGATGGCCAGATGTGGCATTTACAAGTTTGACCTAACCATGCCTACTTTACCATGTGCAACTGCTCTCTCTGTCAGCTATGAAAGCTGGAAGGGAATTAGCAGCTTTTGTCAGTGACTGATGCTACAACCTGGGCTGAAGGCTGTATATTGATGGTGAAAATGCAAGACTATGTATCTCCAGATTTATAGCTTTTGAGATTCTGGTACCTTTAAAATGCACAGTTGTGCCTTATTCTTTAATTCAAGACAAGTCAAAAGTGAATGTACCTCATTATTTATGTTTTCTCATGATACCTGCCTAGTTCTGAAAATGTAATCAAAACTTTCAAATTTTAGTGATGTTTCTTGTTCCTCCTCTAAAGTTGTACATTTGGAGATACATTTATTGGCATATTTGTCATCAATATGTGGATGGAGTTGAGACAAGACTCCAGACACTATGGCAACTGCAGATAGAGGCATGGAAAATTAGAAAGGAAAATGTGACAAACCTGCCACAATAACAGCCATCTTCCTTAAAGTCTCTTCAGGAGTGACTAATAATTACCTAATGTAGGCATATGCACCTGCTTGGAAAGTCTTGGGATAATTTGTTAGCATCAGTAATGGAAGAGGTTTGGACTGCTATTTTTTTGAGATATGTTACATGAGGAACATGACCATAGAAAGGTGGGCTTCTCACAATGGGTGTAGTACAAGCACTTGTCGCTGACTGTTGTTAGATGACATTTGTTAAAACAAGGTCCATTATATTATAGTGCATGTGCTACATATATGAAGCTGAGCTTCTGGGCTGGTAGCTTGTTCATCAGTACTTTGGTGTTATTCGTAAGAAGTGGTTATTATCCTGGCTTGATTCTGTTCATTTAGGACATCCTGTTTGATGCTGACACAGATACTGTGAAGAAATTTGTTTTGCACACCAATTACCCAGGGCATTATGACTTCAATATGTGAGTGGCTCCTCACAAAAATTTGAATTGTTTCATTTCTGCTCCTGTCAAAAGGAGACAAAAGGGAGAATATTTTTATTTTTATCCTTGTAGGTATCATCGCTGTGAATTTGTCCTGGTTGTGATGCCTAACAAGTGCCTTGCTCCTAACTCCTCCCCCTCTGCTTCTTCATCCTCTTCCTCTACTCAGACTCAAATCATGTCACAAGAAGAAGGTCTCAAGATCACTGCCTTAAGTAAATGGGATGAAATTGCCCACCTGCTGAAGCCTAGTCAGAGACCGGTGGTACTCAATAGGACTTCTACCACCAACACTACCAATCCCTTTGGATCCACCTTCTGCTATGGATTTGAGGATATTATTTTTGAGGTTAGTTGATCTGAATGATAAATGCTTCTTGGGATTCTGATATATTTGCCAATTATAATACTGGTTTTTCTCATAGGTTATGCCCAATGGACACTTGGCTGCAGTAACATTATACCAGGTATGATAATGATTTTTCTGGTTCATCCATATGGAAGAAATGCACCAGAAATGTACCAGCATGTGATAATCAAGCAAAAAGTGAAATACCTTTACCATGACGGAGACCTTTTGACTCAAACATTTTCTCTGCTGTGGTCTCCTTTGAAAGCCATTTTTTCTTCAGGCGTGTTGGAGGTTGAAATTGTATTTCTTTTTTCTCTGAAATGTTTTATCATGATTGCAGTTTCATGATAGGAGATCTGGTTTTATGTCATTCTTATTTTCTCATTACTGTTCTATACAGATTTTCTTTTAATTCCATGATTAATGTTTCTTGCTACATAGGATTAGCGCTGACAAAGAAAAACGATGCATTTGAATATAGCCATGCACTCTGTTCTCAGGACATGGCTCATGCTCATACACGATGTTCTCCCCCTTAAAGAAATGTGACTCATTCCTGAATATCCCTCCTGATTCTTAATTGGCAACATAAAGTTTAGTTAACTTCCATTCTTGTAGCAATTTTTGGGGAAGTCACACTTAATAAAGGTACATGACAGTGGCATTCAATTGCAATTAGATTGCAACTGAGCTCAATGCCAAACTCTCTAAGTTGAACTATGCCTTGTCAGTTGTTTGTCAGTTTTCCTCAGTAAGATGTTGAAGTGATAATCTTTGCTCTGTTGTACCCAAGTATCTCACTGGATGTTTGACATCGTTTGCCTACTGAACATATTCCACTGTAATTAATTTAACCTTCTGTGCCATATCAGCCTTGTCACAAAGGACTTACATGCCATAATTGGCGGTGCCAGGCCATTGTTGACATTTTTTGTATTGTACATTGTCTCACCTTCACTTCATCATCAAAATCCAGCACAGCACACCTCTAGTTTAGACTTTGCCTTTGTTGATTTGGTACCATTGACATAACTGGTCAATTGCTCAAGAATGCCAAAGGGAAATGGAGCTGAGCAGTCTTTCCAACAATATAAAAAGCATGAGGGGATCTGTATTCTGCTTGCCTTTGACTCCTTCACTAGTGTATATGAACTCAATGGGCTCATATTAATATCCAGCCTGGTATGAAAGAATGGATCACATGGTAAATAAGGAACACTTCAATTCAGTACCTGGTCAAGATCTAGTCTCTGAATGCGTTTCATCTAAGGTGCATCTTGAAGCTAGGTAGCAAATTGGATTTCATCAGGTTCTCAATCATTCATGTCTATGCTCTTTAGACTGATTTTTCATCACTACAGAGAGGCTAAAGAGGAACACTGAACTGTTCTTTTTTTGTTTTTTTTTTATTCATACCTGTTCACTCCCTATTGACCTGTAACTGGCACAGATGTATTATTTTTATCTTATTCCCATCCCGATATCATATACCAGTCCTGAATCCTACACAATTCTTTAATTCTAAAACAATTTCCATTCTGTGCCCATGGTCCCAAAGCAAAAATATGAATGTTTATGGTGCCCTTCAGCACATTTCATACCTGTTGACCTTGGAAAGCACAACTGGCAAAATGTCTTGCACCTCTCTTAAGATTTCATTATGTAATGCTCAGTGATGGGAAAATCTGAAATCAAGTTATTCAGGCCTGAATATCATGATGTCCCTTATGTCAGTATCACCCATGATTGTTGAAAATTAGAATTAAAATTGAGTTCTTGACAGATAGGTAATAGCCTGGAATTCTTACTGAGAAGGCTGAATGGAGTTCTAATCTGAATGATCAAAGTTCAAGATATGATTCTAATCTGCCACAAATCTCAATCCTGTTGCAAGTGGGGCTCAGGTGCAATTTGAATCTACTCTTGATTCTGTTCTCACTTGTCACAATGAAAATGTGTTAGTTTTTTCCCCCCTAGCACTGCAGAATTTCAGTAATTCTACAAATATTTTCAACTCCTAACCAATCTACATGAAAGAATAGCTAAATATTTTCATAATTTCATAATTGCCACAACATTCTTAGCAGGCCTGGATGGTGATATGATGGGAGGGGGATATGAAACACCTTTAAATAGGTGTGAACCATGTAGAAATGGGAGTATCAAGTTTTGCCAATCATGCCTTCCAACATGCAACAACAATATACTTGAACTTGCATTGTCAACTGACAACCACTGGACTTTCTCACTTTTCATTAAGTTCAAATTTCGTAGTCTGACTCCTATTAACCAAAATGAAGCATATGTCAGATGGATATATTGCATGGATTTGTCCTGCATTTTAATAGCAATCATAACTCCCTTGTTTTGGTAATAATTTTTTGCACTTGGGACAAGTTAAACAGGAATGACATTTGATCCTGGTCTTGTCAAACCAGTCCCAAGTCCTGCTTATTGACATAATTTTCATCTCAGTCCTTCAGGTGGGACAGAGTCCACATAAAAATTCCACAAAATTTCCTCCCTTAATCTAGATGGAATAGATCTGTTGAAAGTAGGTAGAAGTGCAAACTTGTTCTATAATAATTATCAATTTTATCCATCGCCCTCCCAATCATATCAAAGACTAAGGTGGGTGTATTGAATAATTCACTTTTGCACATGAAATATATGATCTACTTGCATTCATAATATCATAAACAATGGACAAGCTTGGTATGCCTGAACTAGGAACTTTAAGTATACATGGGCAAGGTAAAGAGTACCATTGCAATGTATTCACTCAATCCTGGGGTCTAAAGAGACAAGCAAAAGGAGCAAATTAACCTGTCAAGCAGCAAACCTAGGTTGACTGCTGATGAGTTGGTTAATGACCAAGGGAAGGGGTGTCCAGGGATGTAGATACCTTCTTTGGTGATCTGGACTCTTCACTCTTTCCTTCCTGAATATTTGGTGGGGGGAAAAGTAGATTTGATTTACAATACCCTTCTCCCTATGGTTAGGTTACCTCTGCTTCACAGTCAGGTGAACTTAGTTGATGTTCCCCACTTCTCATCTCCCAACCCTCGTTGGCTTGGAGCTTGCTAGATCTGACAACCCCTAGCATATCATGCCTTTACTGTGTTAGCTCCCATCATAGAATCCCAGAAGACCTTCATAGTACCAGTAGCTTTTTTTGGTTAAGCAATTTGTGGTGGATTTCAGTCAGTGATAGATAATTTTCACTTTTGTGTCCACCATGGGGCTTTATCTGACCCATCAGTGGTCATGAACAAATATTAATATTCTATTGCATAGTGGAGTTTTGGAGTGGAATGGAGTTTTTCATCCTTTTACAATCCAGGATCTAAGAAAGCAGCAAAACTTGAACAAATGAAATACCTATCAATTTTGTCAGATGCATTTTTTTTTATATGCTACCATTTGCAATCATTCTTGAAGAATGGCATTTGCTTGAATTTGAAGGATTGTAGGCCTTATTAACTGCTCAAGCATTTTCAACACGAGGCTAAACAGGTTTTTTTTTTTTCTTTCTCAGAAACTCATGCTATCTTCTAACACCAGACAGGTTTTTTTTCTTAAATCAACATCTCAGAAGTTAATCCCTTGACATCAAGAGATGTACCATCGTACATGCAGAGCATGACTTTGGTGCAACCTGCACAGCAGCACTCCCTAACCTGAACGCTGGCCAGATTATTGCCACACAAGAAAAAGCTATATGCATGATCTACTAAATTGTCATTTGACAGCAATATGTTTACCTTTCATCAGGGATGAGAATGAAATTCTCATTGGATTTAAATGAACAGTTCGCTTTCAACAGTAAAAAGGTTCATTCCTGACTTGATTTTGATCCCATGGGACCACTCATCCTTGCTTCACAATGCTGGAAAGCTTCATCATTCACTTCTGACTTATAGAGGGCATGTATATGACAGTCTATTTTTAAATCTACATCCTGTAGTTCTATAAGCTAGCTTCTGCTTACTTTGCTCAGACAATGGTGATGTTGAGTCCTAAAGTTAGCTTGGATGAGTTATGAATTATTTCTTCAGATATGCAAGTGATTAACTTGAGATGCATGCATAACCTTGACTTTCGCATTCAGAATTAACTAGTTTTTCTCTCATGCTTTAAAATGAAGCATGCCCAGCACTGCTGGCCTTTTCCCTCTAGGAACATGTCAATCAAATCAAAAGGTCTCCTTACTTACCCTTCTCTTCTTAGGTCTTTTAAATGTGAATAAGGCATACTCCTGAAAGAGGAGATCAAAGTGCAAAGCAATGACTCTTATATGAAAGGTGATCAAAACCATGAGGTGGAAAAGTTGAAATAATTATATTGGAGAACTGCCTTAGCATGTAAGCCCTTCTGTTGTAACTAAGAACCTAATATTTGTGAATTAGTTTCAGTTGCAGCTTCTGCTATGTGTAAAGGTCACTCATTCCCTATTATCAGGAGGTAATTTCTCCAAGAACCAAGAAAAGTTTTCTCCCCAGGTATGCCCTTGACAGAAAGCGATAAACTGATTAATGACAATTTTTACGTTTAATTTTTGAGTCAACATTCCAAACTGATAGCAAGTAGTGGTGTACATTAGTTCCAACTGTGATGCATTATCAAGCATTATGTACAAAATGAACCACAAAGTGAGATCAGTGCAGGAAATAGTCTTTGAATTTCAGTCGGCATGTAGCATTCTTTTGCATGAAGCGACTTTACTTATGGTATTTATGTGATTGTGTTTTTGTGTGTAATCATTGATGTGTGGGGTATTGTTATTGCAATTGGTTTTATGGTGTGTCATGGTCAGGAACGTTCTATTCCTTTCATGCTTGCAATAGTTTTCTCATTCATCAGATGGTTTTTCCCCTCCAACTATGTGTTTCTCTTGCCAAATGACATCTGTGATGAACTGAGTGGCACTTTCTGCAGGGCAGGGTGTTGAGGTATATTTTCTCCAAGTCGTGCATTTAGCAGGCAATCCTTGTTGTTCCATGATTCTCATAGACTTTTCCAAGCAACTACCTTCTCTGATCTGCACTCTTCTAAGATGACATGTATTTTTCTCTGGATTATTGCAGTGATCATTTTTAGGTTGTGCTGATAGTGGGATCATTGGTATTCCCAATTTTCATATTGTGTGCAATTGTGAACATGCAATGAGAATATCAGTGTGTTTTGGCCTTTCCTTATGGAACAGCAGAGGCATTTTGC